CATTCCAGGCGGCCGAAACTAATGGCCTGAAACCACTCCAGTCAGCGGGTCCGGCCTGTCCGGCCTGTCCGGCCCAGCGTGCTGCAGCGGGGCGAGCAGGGCGAGCAGGCCCACCAGGTGGGGCAGCCTCGGCCCCAGCGGCCCCAGCCTCGCCCGGCCGGCCGGGGCCCCGCCTGGGGAGGGGGCACCGCCACGGCACCGCCACGGCACCGCCACGGCACTGCCGGCCGCGTGAGTCCAGTGACACCGGAATGATTTGGGGTACGCCGTGCCCGCCGTGGCCACGGGCTTAAACACACAACGTGGCAGCGGCCAGTGACTCACGCACCGCGAGGTGTGCACACACACACACACACACACACACAACACACACACACAACACACACACACACACACGCACGCACACGCCCAGCTCACGCAAGACCCACGACGGGTTGGACCCAGAGTAGTTTCCATAAGTCGCCTCCACCAACACCACGCGGTGGAGCACACTTTTAAATTTGACATTTTCCCTCCGGTGCCAAGTGAAGCGCGGCGGCCTGGTTCTGGCTGCGCAGCGCGGCGCGGCGCGGTGCAGGTGGCGACGGCCGGTGTGGCGGCCTTCTCTTCAAACTGCATGACTCTTGCTTTTGCTCGCGGCACCCGCCATGCGTGGCACTGCCAGGCTGCCGGGCCTGTTCCAGACCTCCGGACACAAGGCGGCGTAGGGCCTCCAGGGCCTCCAGGGCCTCCAGGGCCTCCAGGGCCTCCAGGGCCTCCAGGGCCTCCAGGGCCTCCAGGGCCTCCAGGGCCTCCAGGGCCTCCAGTCCAGGGCCTCCAGGACTGGCAGCGCTCGCCGCTTTTTGCGCCACATTTCGCAGAAGCGGCTCGACGGATGTGACCGCCGCCCCGCGCCCTCCCCCTCCACTGTCATTTCGCTGCTGGCCAAAGCCGTGCAAAATCCCGTTCATCTCGTGTCATTTTTTTCCTGCTCTCCGGACGACGACGACGACGACATGCTCGGGCCGAATGTCAAACGCGCAGTAGTAGACTGATTACGAGAGTCGTTTTCGGCGCTGTCTCTCTCGCACCCAGACGGGACGCTCCATGAATGCGAGAGAGACAGAACGACGAATACGACTCTCGGAATCGGTCCGGCAACGAGACGGTGGCGCAGCCGTCCAGGGGGCGTCTCCGGACTCGACTCCGCAACACGACGGGCGCGCAACGCGCAGTGTAGTGCAACACGCAATGAGACTCGCAGTGCAGGGCCTAATGAGCCCGCTCCCATACAGTACTGCACTTCCGCGTGGCAGTGCCGTGGCAGTGCCGGGGCAGTCCGGCAGTGCCGCGACCGAGGTGGGAAACAATTAATTTGCTTCCCGTGCAGTGCAGTGCCACGACGGCTTTGCCACGGCTTCCCATGCCGGTCCGCCCTCCGCCCGCCAACAGACAAGACGACGCCGCGGCGCGCCGCACACGCACACACACACACACACACACACACACAACCAATGTGACTGCAGAAATTTTTCATTTTCAAAACGAGGAGTAAAGCCGTCCGTCCGCATTCTTAATGACGCGCATCGGGCCAATTGTTTCCCCGCGCCGACCTTAAGCGAATGCACGCACACACACGCACACGCACGCACACACACGCACACACCTACTGCACCACCACCCGTTCACGATTTATGTGACGGGTGCGCACACGGGCCGGCGGGGCCGCGCGGCCCCCCCGCAGCCTCAAACACTGCAGAAAATGATTTTTATCTTTTATCGGGGCACTCACCGTCAGCACAGGTAATTTCAAGGAGCAACCCCGGGACCACCCACCTATCTCAAGTACAAGGCAAGCCCGAAGAGCGTTTCCGACCGGCCAGGCCGCTGGGCCCGCGAGCTGCGCTCACACAGACACACACGCAGACACACACACACAGACACACACACACAGACACACACACAAACACAAGTCGCACGGCCTATCCTCGAGGCAGAAACATTTCCTGCTTCCCATTTGCGACGACACGCATTTCAAATTCCATTTTTTACGAATCCCGCGCTCCTCTCTCCCCCTCTCTCTCTCTCTCTCTCTCCTCTCTCTCTCTCTCTCCCCCCCTCCCCCCCCCCTCTCTTTTTTCCCCCCTCCTCTCTCCCCCTCCCCCTTTTTTTTTTTTGGCTCTGTCTCGCTGGTGCCGCGGCCCTCCTTTTTGTCGGCCCAAATCATCTCATCATCGTCCGGGGTGTGAACCGGCCGCCGCACGCAGGGCGAGCGAGCGTGCGCGAGCGTGTGTGCGCGAGTACGCGCCCGTGCGTATGTGTGTGTGTGTGTGTGTGTATGTGTGTGTGAGTTTGCGTGTGTGTGTGCGTGGCAGCAGACGTGGTTGCATGACCACCTGCACCGGTCTGCACTGGACGGCCCGGGGGGGGGGGCGTGGCGGGGGAGGGCGGGGCGGGGGGAGGGTCCCAGCGGCGGGTGGCCTCGGGGGCGTGCGGCGGGCGGGGGGCCCCGGGGGCCGCGGGGGCCCAACGCGGCTGAGGGTGCGCCGGGCTTCGCTGCTGCACCTCGGCAACGCCGCGCCGCCGGCTGAGCCTGTCTAGAGCCGCGAGCCGCTCCGGGCTCTCCGGACTCTCCGGACTCCTTCTGGAGGCTCCAGCGCCGCCGCCATTGTCCGGGCGAGCGACTCCAGCCGGCCAGCCGCGCTGCCGCCGTGCACCGACGCACCGCCGGGGACCGCCGGGGCTGCAGACAGATTCCGGGAGTCGTTTTCGTCGCCCTGTCTCTCTCGCTCTCATGGGGCATAAGTGCGATAGAGACACAGCGACGAAAACGGCTCTCGGAATCAGTCTGCAGGGGCAGCCCGGCTGCCTTTGGCTCCTTTGGCAGGGCTGGCGTGCGCTTCGACACTTTGGACACGCCGGTCACGCGGCCGGCACGCGGCCAGCGCGCAGCACGCGAAGCACGCGAAGCAGGGGGCGCCGCCGCCGCGTCCTGGCCGCGTCGCACTAGATGAAGTCATCGAGCCATAACAATACAAGCCTTATCAAGGGCCGTGCAGGCGTGCCGTGCAGTGCCGTGCCGTGCTCTCGGCAGCCCGGGGTGGAATGGCCCGTCATTACCTAGGCCCCTCCCCCCCCCCTTCCCCCCGCGACCCCTCACCCTGGCGCCCACCGCGTGCCCTCGGCCTGCCCGCAGCGCAACGGCCACATCTCGCCAACATCGATTTTTCCATCAGCGCGGAAGGAAAAAAATGGCCGGCCGAGCCCCCGGCCGAGGCCCCGCCACCTGTAGCTATTTAGCGCAAATCGAACACACACGCTCGTCGGAGCGAAAGCGAAAATCACCGAGTCCGATTCTACCGGGAGAAACAGACAGACACAGACGAACGGAAATACCGAAAAAAGTGAAACGGGGGAGATTGAATGGGGTCTGGGCTGGGGCAGTCTGAGGCTGCGCGGCGGACGTGCAGCAACAACGCATCGGCCCATTCCGTTAATTTCGCACGCCAGATATGCACACTGTATGTGTGTGTGTGTGTGCGTGTGTGTGCTGGTCCAATCTCATCCCGAAGCCATTATATCAGTGATCGCGTTTGGTGTGAGGCCACCCTCATACTCCCCGGCCTAAACACACAGACACACAGACAGACAGACACACACACACGACGCACCGCGCGGCGGCAGGCGGCAGCGTTCCGCTGATTCCGCGGAATATCTGCCGAGGGCCGCAGTCCCGGCCACTCTTCCTCCTCCTTGGGTGGACCGGACCGGAAGCCTTGTTTCATTCCGCGGACTCACGCGCGCGCGTGTGTGTGCTGTCTGTGCGTGTGTGTGTGTGTGAGTGTGTGTGTGTGTGGTGTCTGTGTGTGTGCGGTGTGTGCGTGCGCGCGCGTGTGAGTGTGGCCTAGGCGAGCCTAGGCCCTTGCCTCCCTGCCCACCGACTTGGCGCTGGCGGGGCTGGCGCGCGCACCGGCCGCTTGCCGCCAAGTTCCGAGGGATCCGTTTCGTCCCTCCGTCTCTCTCGCTCCCCTAGAGGCCTTTCGGGACGCCCCACGAGTGCGACGGAGACGGAGCGACCGGGGCCTTCGGGTCGAGACGAGGCGGCCGGTGTAATGATAAGTTCCACTTTACAGCCGCTTGCCTGCGCTCCGCGCTCCGCGTTGCACTGCAGACTGTTTCCGAGCACTGCTTTCGTCGGCCCGTCTCTCTCGCACCCATACGGAAGTCCCCACGAGTGCGAGAGGGACAGAGCGACGAGAGCGGTGCCCGGCATCAGCCCGCTGCTCCGCGTTGCAGCGCTCCGCGGCGCTCTGAAAAGACTAAAAGACGGCGGCGTAACCAGATCGGAGAGCCATCATAAACTGGGGGCTTTCGCAATGCACAGCTAGCTGGCTGCCTGCCTGCCTGCCTGCCTGGCTGGCTTGCTGCCTGGCTGGCCGCGCGAACTTGGCGAGGCCAGAGGCCAGCCGGTCATCGGGGCCCCGATTTCGGTCCGCGGCGCGCCGAGTGAGGAATGCACTGCAAATGCACTGCGTGTACACTGCGAATGCACTGTGAATGCACTGTGAATGCACTGCGGATGCACTACACGAGTGCACATACGAACGCACTGCGAATGCACTGCGAATGCACTGCGAATGCACTATATGAATGCACTGCGGATACACTACGAACGCACTGCGAATGCACAATGAAGGCGGCGACGCAGCGAGGCTCCCGACGACAAGATTAGCGCTCGCTATGGCTCCGGCAGCCCCAGCGAGCATCCCGGCACCGCCGACATGGTTTAGATAGGAGGTACCGTTGGCCAAGTCGCTGGCCTCCAGCAGCCTCCAGCAGCCTCCAGCAGCCTCCAGCAGCCTCCAGCAGCCTCCAGCAGCCTCCAGCAGCCTCCAGCAGCCTCCAGCAGCCTCCAGCCGCTACCGGGGGGAGCTGGAAGGGGCAGGCGCGCATCTAGCAGCAACGCGTTGCTGCCAGAGTGCAAGAGAATGCATGGGCATGCATTCGGAACCATCACTCACCTTGTTCCGCTGATGAGACGGTGACTAGAGACAGGAGGCACAGGCCGAGGCCTGCTAGGGGTGCCAGCAGAAAAGCTTGCAGCCCGGACGGCCTGCACGGCCGACACGGCCGAGACGGCCTCGACGGCCTGGACGAGGGTCCGCGTGGCCGCGTGCGGGGCGGTGGGGGCGGCCGGTGGCCCTGGACGCTGCGGAGGCCCTGGCCGAGGCCATGAGGGCCGTGGCCCTGGGTGCCGCCCGCGGCCGCGCCCATGGCCGAGCCCGTGGCCGAGCCCGTGGCCGAGCCCGTGGCCGAGCCCGTGGCCGAGCCCGTGGCCATGGCTCGAGCGCCCCTCACCGCTGCCACATCACTGCCGGCCTCGTCACGCCGCGATAATCCTGAAACAAACAACAACATGAGTCACACAATGCGTCTAAGCCCCCGCCGCGGCCAAATCGCAGCGCGCGGCACACTAGTAAATTGCCGAAGTAAGCCGGGCCGCCGAGGCTGGCAGGCACGGTGCGCAGCTGTGCGGGCCGAACTAAAGCAAACCGAACCGCACCATCATCGCCTCGCCTCCATCGGCACGCCATTGGCACGTCCGTGCATTCGCTGCGTCCGCGCGGGGGAGTGCGAGAAGCCCGAGCCCCGCCGCCGCACGCACGGGCACGCACGCCATTCACGCACGCCAGCACGCCGCTTCGTGGAACGTCGCGGAACGTCGTGGAACGGCCTCCGATCAGCGCACAGTCGTCGTGCACCCCGCCAGGCCCGCCACCCCTCCGCGCCAAATCTACCTGAACCGGTGCAGCGCGCAGCACCCAGCGCAGCGGACAATGCCAGGCCGTGTCTCTCTCGCGCCGCGACGCGACGCGCCGCGAGTGCGAGAGAGACAGCGCGACGAGGGCCGTGTCCGGGGCGAGGCGACACGCCGCGGAGGCCGTGCAGGCACACTGTGCAGGCCATGCCGATGCATCCAGAGAATGGCCTAGCGCGCCCGGCAAACACGGATCAATGGCCAAGGTGGGAGACGACGCACACAGGATGTCGCCCCGCCCCGCCCCGCCCCGCCCCGCCGGGGTGCGCAGATGTATCCATCCCCAGTGTGGCACTGCCGGAGAATCCGAAATCCGAATCCAATGGGCGCGCGCGACACACCGTCGCCGTCGACTGAATGCAACAGTGCCGCCGCACACCCGATGCACCGGAGCGACGCCGCCAGGTCGAGCGTACAGTATCGCTCATATCGAGCGAGCGTGGCGCGGCGGGCGTGAGCGTGACCTCATGACAACGCTCAGGCAATCGATCAGGACACCAGTCTCACGCGAGCACGCGGCGCGGGGCGGGGCGGCGCCGTGACGCCAAAGCGTGCGCTGCGTGCGCCAAGCCGAGTGTCAATGTGTCACGGAATACGCTCCCAGTGCGACATCCATGCGCGCGGACGCAGTGCGGCCGGCCGGACATAGCCGCTTCGTGTCGGACAGATATCGGACAGGCTATGCAGCGCGGCACGCGTGGCACGTCAAAACGGGGAGGGGCGAAGCGGGGCAAAGCCGCGAGGACAGCGCCCTACACTGTAAGCCAGAGTATTTGATAAACTGGCGCACTTCAAATGTCTTCAGGGCGAGAGGTCTACCCTAGTATTACAAATACTTTGTTAAATCTAGTTTGTACTAGTGCGAACAAATTTTCGATCCTCATGCAACCCACTGCTCTCACTCTCACCATACGATTTTTACAAATGAGACTGACATCAGTCACACTGTTACTACTATGTGCGAACCTTCACCGCGTTTGAAATGCCGTTGTTGTTCCCAAAGCATACCGTGCCGCGGCGAGGCGCGGCCGAGTCACTCAGCGCATGGCAAAGAAGTTGAGCAGTGCAGTGGTGCTACGTGGTATAATCTATTAACCGGAAACGACAGACGGCGCTCCGATGCGCCGCTCGGGCAGGTCGACCTCATCATCGTCGTCGTCGTCGTCGTCGTCGTCACCATCATCATCTGCATGAGCTTTAGCAGGTCTCCGTGCACGACAGTTGTCAAAGCCAGAACGCATCCGACCTCCTCGGCTTGGCTGAGAAGGTCGAGGAGCCTCACAGTCGTGGATCGAGTCCAATTCCCACAGCGAACGGCTCCAAAACCGCGCGTCCTTGACGTCATCATCAAATTAGTCATCCCGGTCCGCATGCACGGTGCAGTGGAGCAGCTCGCGGATGCCGAGCGGGGCGGAGCGGGGCGAAGCAGGGCGAAGCAGGGCGAAGCAGCCGACGACGAAGGAAGCAGGCCTTCCGAAACGGCGCTCCGTCTCTCTCGCACTCGCGGGGCGTCCCAGGTTAGTCCCAGGGGTGCGAGAGAGACGGAGCGACGCGGGCGCACGCAGCGACGACGGGACGGGCCTAATGTCAGACTACCACTCATACGGCCACTCATATTATTTTTATTCCAAGCAGGGGCGGACGGGCGCAGGGGAGGGGGAGGGGGGAAGGGGGACACAACATGCCGTGTCACACGATACGATGCCCCGAGTTACGAGTGGATATGAGGGGCAGCAGGTTCTGTCTCGCGAAGCGCCGGCAGTTGTTTGCATGCATCCGCGCGTCAATGCACGTCGTGCACGTCGCGCCAAAGAATGCGCCCCGGTCCTGTTGCTGAACACACACGCGCGCACACATTCACACGCACTCACACACACACACACACACACACGCACACAGACAGACGCACGGTGCAAGGGCGTCAGCGCGCAAACTTTCCAGCGCAGATGCAGTTAGTCCGCGCGTGAGCCAAAAGTTTGGAAAACGCGTCGAGTTTCGCTGCGGCAGCGCGGCCGGCTCGCGATGACGACGGCGTTGACGACGGCGTGCGCGGAGTGGCGCGGCGACGCCCGCCCCGTTTTCCACTGCAGGACGACGTCCTAGGCCGGCGTCCAGGTCGCCGTCAGTGCGCGCCCGGCGCGGCGTTAGTGGTTCCCACCGCGCGCTCCGCCGGGCGTGGCCGAGCCGTGCCGCGCCGCGGCAGGCATTCACTTACGGCCCCACGGCTAACGGGACAGCGCGACCGCGGCGAGGACCGCGGCGGCGTGGGCAGGGTGACAGACATCCCGACACAACAATCGGATTATCAGTGCCTATCACCTCCCCCATAGAAAGCAGGGCCGCCACGGCCGCCTCGGCCGCCCTAGGAAAGCGACTGTCACAGAGTGTGACGCGGCAAGACCGCCACGCCGCGGCACTGCCGCCAGGACTCGAACGACTCGAACCCAGCAGACTCATTCCGAGAGTCATTTTCGACGCTCTGCTCTCTCACACTCATCAGGCGTCCCGTACAGGTGCGAGAGAGACAGAGCGGCGAAAACGACTCTCGGAATCAGTCTGCAGGGCCGCGCCGCCGCGCCGCAGCGGGACCCTTGACGCGAAGGTGCTCCTTGTGTGTCGAGCTGGGGGAACCATTTATCCAAGACCGCCCCCTGCCGCCCGCCCCGGAGGAGACTCGAACCCACAAACTTGAAATCCGCGACGGCGCGGCGCCTCCACCCCGCCACTCCGGCCGGGACGCCGGCGTGCCACTCCAGGCTCCGTCTCGTTTCGATTCTGATCCTCTTTACTCCTCAGAGCGCCGGGATGGGAGCCTGGTGGAGGGCGGGGCGGGGCGGGGCGGGGCAAGGCCCCGCAGATTCGTTCCGAGTAAACTTTTAATTTATACTTGCGGCCAGGCGACGCGCAGCGCGGGGAGAGCCGGCCTGGCCGAGCCCATGCCGGGGAGTCGGGTGTCGGCCCGGCCATGAGGGTACAGCGCACGTACAACGGCGAGGACAAGGAAAGCTAAATTAAAACGCGCTGGCCGCGGGCCACACGCGCGGCGGCTCCGAGTCCTGCAGCACTCGCTCAAGTGACCCGCAGTGGGCGGACGTACCGCTCGCTGGGCGTTTGGAGCTCCACAGCCTCCAATCAAACAAATGGTGTGGCACCCATGGATTCCTCGTTCCAAGGGCAGTCCATTGACCGTGGCACTCTCATGTGCTTGATCAGTTCTACACTATAAGATCAAAAAGAGTGACAAGAGTAGCGTTAGCACGGAGGATACACCGGGATACACTGTGAACTGTGACACTCAAGTCGGGCGCCCATCGGCCTTCCACAACAGGTTGGCAACCCTACCGACAATGGTGCATCGTTTCGGCCTGTGGCAACACTAGGGTCCTCGTCGAGGCCAACGAGGCCACGGTGCTGGGCGCAGGCGTCCCCAGCATTCAATGAATGTCGCCCGGGCTTCCCTGGCAAACCGCCTCGCCTTTCACCCCGAGGCTGCAGTGCGCAGTGCCTACAGTGCCGCGCGCCGAGCTAGCCGCTACCGTGCCGAGGTCGCCGCCCCGGATCGCCCCGCCCCGCCCCGCCCCGCGCCGCGCCGCGCCGCCCCGCCCCGCCGCGCCCCGCGCCGTGCAAGCTGGGTAATTACTATTGAATGGGTGAAAGCACCGCTCCAGAATGGTCGCCAGAGCCAACGCTCACGTGGCGATGCAGGCGGTGCAGGCATGCAGGCGGTGCAGGCGATGGCGTGGAACATGCTAAACACCCACGCGGGCTGGCCGGCTGGATGCACTGCGCGTCGTCGTCGCCGAGGCCGTCGGCGTGCACACTGGCAGCGGCCCAAAGCGACGCCCTCGAGGCCCTAAAGGCCCTAAGGGAGAGCGACGCCTCGGGTAACGCGGGGTTAATAGTCCGCCGGCCCAGAATAAGACGAATAAACAAACGCCAAACGGCACCAGTCAATTGTCCAGCGCGACACTGCCAGAGAGAGGGGCGTGAGGACGGGGCGGGGCGGAAATAGCAGGGGCCGGCTAAGACTGCCAAGCCCTTCGCCCCGCCCCACCCCGCCCCGCCCTGACATCTCGGAAGTTGCTGACGACGCTGGCGCCATGGAGGGCCGCGGGGGCGGCGCGGAGGGAAGGGGGTTCGGAAATTGGGCGACTAGCGGAAGGCTTGTTGGCACAGTGAACGCCGCCTCGCCGCCTCGCCGCGCCCCGCCGCGCCCCGCCGCGCCCCGCCGCGCCCCGCCGCGCCCCGCCGCGCCCCGCCGCCCCGCCCCGCCACGCCCCGCCACGCCCCGCCACACCCGATCGAAGAGGCGATAAGGGTTAGGGTACCGCGACGACCAGGACGCCACCGGTGTGGCACTGCAAGTGCACTGCGCGACGCGTCCGCCTGGTGCACCGCCGCGGCGATCAAAGATCCGATGAGCCTCCATCGACCTGCGCGGCGCCCCGTCCGTCCC